ATTCAAGCATAGGCAATTGGGAATTTCTGCCTTGGAATCTGAGTCTTGCAAAGTCCAAGAATAGGTGTAGGGTCAAATAGAGACTCTTATTGTCAAAGGTTTGTAGAAAGGATGAGGTGGTAAAAGTATCTGGTGGTGAACCAGTTGTTTTTGTTTTATTCTGTTTTGTGACATACCTGTTTTATTCTACATTGAGAAAATCTATTTACATGATAACAAACTCTAATAGGAATTTGTTGTTGTTTTTAATTAGCTATAGTTCATATATCTCTGGTAGCGTAGTGGTTACAAATCGGGCTGCGAACCTTAAGGTCAGCGGTTCAAAACTACCAGCCGCTCCGCAGGAGAAAGATGAGGCTTTCTACTCCCGTAAAGATTTACACCCTCGGAAACCCTGTACAGGGTCGCTATGGGTCGGAACCGACTCGACGGCACTTAACAACAACAACAACATAGTTCACATACCATACAATCTTCCATTTAAAGTGTACAAGGTTTACAGTATTTTTAAAAATACATTCGCAGAATTGTGTAACCATCACCACTATCAGTTTAGAATATTTTCGTCACCTTTCCCCATACTTTATTAGCAGTCACTCTCCTTATTTCTCCAGACCTGTGCACCCACCAATCTATTTTCTGCCTTTATAGATAACAACCTATTCTTAAATCAAGGTGTAAACTGTGCTTTGCTTCCCTTGGTTCCTGCTTGAGCCTTGTATTCGTTATCAATAACTGCATGACAAATCACCCCAAATGTAGCAGCTTAAAACAACACAAGTTTATTAGCTCATAGTTTCTGTGGACGAGGGATCCAGGCACATTCTTACGTCAGTGTCTCTCATGAAATTGCAATCAGGGTGTTGACTAGGATAGACGGCTTCACTGGGAAAGGAGCTGCTCCCATGTTCATTACATGGTGGTTGGCACAATTCAGTTCCTTGAGGGATGTCGGCCTGAAGACCTCAGTTCCTTGCTGGCTGCTGGCTAGACACTACTCTCAGTTCCTTGTTATGCAAGTGTCCCCAACATGGCAGCTTGCTTTATTAAAGCCAGCGTGGGAGAGAATCTACTAGGAAAAGTTTGCAACCTAATCATGGAAGTGATTTTTCCTCAGCGTTGCTCTTGGAAACAAGTTACAACTTGGTTAGAAGAAAATTAGTAAAGAGGAGGAAACTCTACATGGTGTGGATCATTGTGGGGATGGGGATCATTGTGGCCGTCTTGGACGTTGCCTACCAAAAGGATATCCTGAGGTCCTCCAGTGAGTTCTGTAGGCTACTCACTGCTCTCTTGAATGTGTAGTAACAACAATGAGAAAGAGGCCATCTCGATAGCAGCTGAATGGCAACCATCACAACTAGAATTGGGAACTTATTTTCATTCCATTTGTTTATATTTGTTTATTGCTTCTTGTTGTCGAGTGCTGTCAAGTTGATGTCAACGCATGGCAATCCCATGTGACAAAGTAGAATAGCCCCATAAGGTTTTCTTGGCTGTAGTTTTGTAGGAGAAGATTGATAGGTTTTTTTCTAGCAGAGCTACTGGTAGATTTGAACTACCAACCTTCTGGTTAGTAGTTGAGTACTTAACCATTGCATTACTAGGGCTGCTTTGTAATGCCTCTTGTTGTTAAGTGCCACTGAGTTGGTTCTGGCCCATAGCAACCCTGCATAGGGTTTCTGAGGAGCAGCTGGTGGGTTTGAACTGTTGACCTTGTCGTTCACAGTCCAGTGCTGATCCTACAATGCCACGTCAGGAGTCCTGTATTGCCCCTAGTGGGTCTGTAATCATCCACAGTAATATGAGTAG